AGGGCCGGCCCCACCGCCTGCCCGGGGATGTGCCCCCCCGCTGCCGCACCTGGCCTTGACTTTGAGGAAGTTTACCTGAGTTTCTGCCCGGTTGCGTCCTGCCGGGGTGCCGGGGACTCCTGCAGCACCAGCGACCCACCCTGGGGCTGTGCACGGGGCTGTGCCCATGGGTGCCCCCCACCCCTGGCTGGGGCACCCATGGGTGCTGATGTTCCCCTCACCGCAGGCGGGGTGCTGCGTCTGCGGGAAGGTGGGGGGCCCTGCACGGACACCTCCCCGCACCTCACCTCCCTCTGCCGGCTGCTGGAGAGCATCCTGCGCCGGGGGCTCCGACGTGAGTGGCCCTTCGTGCCCGGGTGGCGGGTGGCAGCGTCCCGGTGCCCACGGCAAGAGGCCTCATGCTCCCTTTCTCCGGCAGAGCCAGCCTGGGGCTTCAGGAGACGGGATTACTGGCACTGGCTGGAACAGCTCCCCACAGGGGACAGTGGCAGGTGAGCAGGGATGAAAATCTGAGCCGTGACGCGTCCGTTATCATCCCAAAGACCCCAGGCACAGGGAGGAGGATGCTCCCATCGCTGCCAAAGTTTCAGCCCCGAGCTGCTTCCCCTCTCCCCAAACAGGCCGACCCCTCTGTCCATCACCATCCAGAAAGCGGGCAGCTGCGGGAAGGTGCGGACAGCGCAGGGCCACGGGCGGTACTTTCTGCGCTTGGCTCTGCAGGAGAAGGTGCTGGCGGCGGCTGTGAGGCAGCTGGCACAGACCCCCCGGCTCCTGGAGGTGCAGCACATGGGGGGGAGCCACTACCTGTGGGTAACGGGCAGCAAAACGGCGGCGTAATGGTGGCATTTCTCTGCGTTTCAGTTTTACGATCCAGTGAGCTCCATCCTCGGCAGCGAAGACCTCCTGGGTAAGACAGTGAATCCTCCGAGGTGGGATGTAACATGCCCTGGGGTGGTTGTCAAAGGCCCCACACTGCTGCAGGGGTGGCAGGGGAGGAAAACAGTCCACTGTGATTTTTTGAAGCCAAAGTTAGTGGTAAAATCTAAATATGCTGCTGCAGCAATGGGAAAAGAGGTGTAAATTTTTAAACGTGGTTTGAATCCATCCAAGGTTGGTTTTAGTGTCATGGGGTAGGAAAATTTCCTTTGAAGTGCCTTTTGTGCTATTTCTTTGTACCAAGGATGCTGGTTTAAGAAGACCCAGCAGTCCAGCTTCGAGGGGAGCCCTTAGCGGCTGGGCCCAGGCTGCCATCCCTCATGGGGGGTCATGGGGGGGTTCAGTGCCGTAAATGTCTGTGAGGCCTTGGCAGGCTGCACCACTCCATCCACAGCCACGCTCCTCAGGGGGGCCAGGCCAGGGTGAAAGCCTTTAATCTTTTGATTATGATAAATAACCCCATGTTAAACCTGTACCTAGATGGCTTATAAATCACCCACGCTTCTGGTGCATGAGCAGATTGCAGATCCCCATCAGTGTAATTGCAAGGCTCGTGCAGGACAGCCCGGGCAGCTTCACTTTGTATTTAGGGGGAGAAATGGAGAGAAAGTTGCTCATCAGCAACGTTTGCTGTGAGCCTTGGTCTGAAATTGGGGAAATGAGGCATTGAGCTGCAGCACTTCTCTCCCCACGCCGGCAGCGGGAGCCCAGGATGAGCCCCCAGCAGCAGCCTGGGTGCCGTGGTGCTGGGATGCTCTCAGGACCTCGCTCTCCAGGGCTCATTAGTTACACTGAAAATGGCTTTATTCGGACCTCTGCCATGTCCCCGCGAGGCTGTGGCTGCTGGGAACCCGGCAGTGACGCTGCCTCTCCATCCCCATCCCTCTGCAGAGCCTTTCCTCTCGCTGCTGCTGGTGGTGACAGAGATGGATTTCTCCCTGGACCTGCAGGTACGGTGACGAATTGGTGGGGTGGTGGCCAGCACACGGCTGCCGGTGTGGGGCCCTGACTGCTTCCTCGCCAGGACCGATGGCGCTAACGGTCCTTTGTTTGCAGAATTGCAGCTTCTTGGACGAAAGCTGGCTGCTGCCGGTAAGAGCTCGTCTCTCCCCGGAGCAGTCCTTCCACCGCCTGGCCCTCGTTGGAAACTCAAATGAGGAAGATAAGGAATGATTTGGTGGGGAGGGATCCCCACACAACTCTCTGTCCGGCCACTGCCGGGGGTGCATTGGCTCAGGTTCACCAGCACAAGCAGAGCTGCCTCTGCCACTGAGATTGAATCCTGTTGGTGCCTGCACTATCACCAGGAGCAGATCCCAGCATTCCTGGGAGAAAAACCAAGCAAGAGTAGTACCCAGACCTAAACTGCTGACATAAATTAAGTTTCCCCATGCTCCCTTCCCTGATTTCTTGCCAAAAAAATCCCCATTTCCCTGGGCTGACACAGATTACATGTTGGTTTTGCTCTTGGTTTTGCTCAGTGAAAAATCGGTGAGTTTACTGAGAGCAGTGGGGATGCCTTGATGTCTTTTAAAAATGATGAGCATCCTCCGCTGCCTTTTTAACCCAAAAGAATCCCCTCAAAAAGCTCAAGGCGGCTTTGGGGTCGGTTACAGCATGTGCCAAGCTGCAGCACTGCTGCAGAGGCTGGGATCCTGCTGACTTTTGGGCATTTCTAACAGCAAGTAGTCCCTGCCAAACTGGCCGTGTTTTGGGTCCCTGGCTGATGCGATGTGACAGCAAGTGCCACTGCAAATGGCAGCAGCTTTGGGAGGGGCAACAGCGCTCCCCCGGCTGCGTTGGGACATGTGGGGTGAGGGAGGAGGGCTCATGGCTGAGTTAAGGTTTCACCTGCTGCTTTCCCACTATCTGTCTAGCAGGTTTGTCCCTCCAGGGTCTGGGCACAGGCAAATCCCAGGAGAGGACAGGGACAAGGAGTCACTGATGGTCTCTCTGGGCCTCTCTCTGGGCTCCCAAAGCCCTGGCTTGGCATCAGCACCAGAAATGATCCAGGGCGAGGGGTCCCCATCCTCCCCTTCATCCTGGTCACATTCTTTGAGCATCCTGTGGCCCTTGCCAGAGCCACTGTCACCAGCTGCTCTCTTCCAGGTGTGCATCACTTATGAGACAGTCCCGTGCCGAGTGCTGGGGATGGTGCTCAGGTAGGAGCCCTTGATCCTCCTCTCTTTTCTCCAGTGGGATCTGGACACCACAGCACTCAACCTCCCCCCCAAAAAGGGGACATAACTACCCCACTGAGAGCATTGGGGATATCTCAGGTGCTTTTATCCCCATCGGCTCAGCCTTACCAATATCTGCAGTCTCTGGGGTGGCTTTTCCCTACCTCCATGTGTCAGTGAAACACCACTGTACTGATGGTACGAAAGGGCTGGGGAGCTGGGCTGGGTCCCTGGGGCTGAGATGGAACTCGGCTGCACCCCCAGGTATGTGGACGGCCGAGTCTTTGTCACCGAGGTTCTCCCTGAGAGCCAGGCAGATGTGGATGAGGTGGTGCTGGCCGGTGACATCCTCGATGAGATCAACGGCTGCTCGCTGAGAAACGCCTACAGCGGGCAGGTGGGTGGGCACAGAGGGCTGGCGTGTCCCCCCATCTCCCCCTCTCCTTCCCCTCCCTGTCCTCCCCTCTGCTTTCCCCACCCTCCCTCCAGGCCGGGGATGTGCTGCAGAAGCTGAAGGGAGAACCCCTCAGCTTCCGCCTGCTGTGCTGGCGGTGGCACGACGGGGAGGTCTACGAGCCGCTGCTGCCCTACCTGAAGGTCTTGAAGGAGAAGGAGCCCCATTTCCAGCTCCAGCGTGGCCCTCGGCGCAGGGGCGAGGGGGAGCCGCAGAGGCTGCAGGGAGGCAGGTAGGTCTGGTGCCATGGGGAGCCCCCAGGCTGGGCTGGGAGTCCTGGCATCAGGGCTGCCCTATGCCCAGGCTATCCCTGGTCCCCACCCAGGGCTGCGGGGCCAAAGCTGCCCCTAATGGCATAGGGAGGGGTGGTGAGGTGGGGTGCTGGGGGGCTGTGAGCATCTTCCCCTGCAAAAAGCAGCAGGAGGATGAGCAGGGTCCTTGCTCTGATGCCCCTGAGCCCTTTTCTCCCCAGGCTGCTCTACAACCTGCAGTATCTGGGCCAGGCCAGCGTTGGGAAGGTGAGGTGATGGGCCAGAGATGTGGGGGTAAATTGTCTCTTCTCGGTTTCTTTTCACATGCCCGTGGGTTAATCCCTCTTTCCCTCTGGTTTCAGTATGGTGGCAAAGAGGTGCTAGCCCAGGCCATCCCCACCGTGCTGGAGAGACACTCGGCAGCACGGGTGAGCGACAGGGCTGAGGGGTCTTGGGAAGGGCTCGGTGAGAAAACTGCAGGGAAATACAGTTTGCCTGGGGATATTTTCTCCTGCCGGCTCCAGGTTCACTTGGCCTGGCTTTTTTTTTTTTTTTTTCTGGTTAGAAGAATCTCTGCAGCCAGGATAGGAAAGTGCATTAAGGAAAAAAAACCAAAAACAAGCAACGACCTGCAGGAAAGCACTTGGAAAAACTGCGGGGAAGTTGAGCCTGGTTCCAGGGGGGCGTTAGGGCTCGGGTCACTGTTGCTTGAGCTGTTGCGGGGCAGGGGGTGGTGTAGGTGGGTAGATTCACATGCAAAAGCACTGGGTGGTGAAAAATGGGGCAGCACCGAGAACACTCCTTGAAAAAACTGTGCTTGTCTGTGCTTCATCACCTCTGCTTTTGGATAATCTCTCTCTTGTAAGTGTCTTATTAAAAATAGAGCTCAGATGCTGTGATGATCAAGGTTTCTTCCACCTCCGCCCCCTATTTAGGAGGTTTTATTTGATGTGAAGGAAGCAGAAGTCCTTGTACAGGAGAAGACTTCTTCCAAGGTACTTGAGCAACATCCAAGGTCTGGGTGACTCCTGAGGCTGCCGATCTGGCAGCACAGGGAGCCTGGCTGGAGGGGCCGTGGGGACCGTTTAAACCAGGAATGGGGATGATGGGAACTGGCTGCAGCACCATCTCCCTCCTATCCCCTGTGCAGGTCCTGTGCCGCTACCCCTACCCCAAGATCTCCTGCGTGGGACGCTGCGTGGGCAACAGCAATTTATTTGCCTTCTGCGTGGTGTAAGTGTTGCCCGTGGGCCCTGGGAGGGGGGATATAGAAGGATGCAAGTCTTAGAAAATAAACAAGTGACGTCCAGCCCAGCCGCAGGGTCTCTGGTGTGGTTACAAGCCAGGGCTGGGTTTTCAGCGCTGCTCTCTCTGCCAGCTAATGTACGTGTTTCCATTTTTAGCGCTTCCCCGGAGAGCCCTGATGGGAGCACGTTCGACTGCCTGGTGTTTGCATCGCGTTCTGAGCAGGAATGCGAGGAAATTGTCAGGAGAGTCGGTAAGGGAATGGTTTATGTCTTCAGATATCATCACAGTAAGATCAGGGAACAGCAAGGACTGTTATTCTGGTCCACCACATGCAAGATCTAACTTAATTCCTTTGTGTTGAGGTTACTAAGATGAATAGATACTTTGATACAGTTTTCTGGTGGGTTTGGGTTTTGTGTTGTGTGGGGGATTTTTTGTGGGTTTTTTGTTTTGTTTTGGTTGGTGGGTTTTGGTTGTTTTGTTGTTGGTTTGTTGTTTTTTTTAGAACTGCTAGACAATGATTTTATTTTAAGAAACAGCTTCTAGGCATACCCAGATGGTTCATTGTTTCCACTAAGAACTTGGAGGAAACATTGTTTTCGAGGGATGTTATTTTAAAACATACTTTTCCTGCAGGAGCCCAGCCTGCTACTGCAGTTTAGCACCAGATCAAGCATTCATCAATCACTCTGAATTAACCTGCCTCAATGCAAGCTGCGTGGTGCTTTCCAAACTACCTGGCTCCTGGGTCACTGAGGACTTCTTGTGGGGACATCCCTGCCAGGTGTCCCCTCGGCAGGCTGTACCCCCCAGGGCAGACCTGCCCAGGTGATCTACCACAGATCACTTAGCATCAACTGAACCCTGAGATGGCGCTTAACTTTGATCCAGGTCTTTAAAGCATGTAGATGCAAGGAAATATTTTTTTCCCCACAGGTTTAGCAGCAAGGAAAATACTTACTTAAAACCTAGTCTTCGATCATTTTAGCAGGTTTCTAGCAGCTCTGTAGCAGATATCACTGTGAGCTGGGGGCTGCGTTTGTTCCAAGCACACTTGGAGCAGTGCAGGAAAGTGCGCTGAGGAAGTTGTGCAAGTGTGTGTGGTAAGGGGCACCTGTTCCTCCAGCTGCAGGGTTTAAGCACACGGAGTGGTTTGTCTGAGAGGGGAGAACTCCAGCTCCAGCCCCTGCGCCACAGCCGGCCAGCAGCACCCCGAGCACTGCAGCCCCAACTCCCGGGAGCAGGATGGTTCCAAACAGCTTCCAGGCCATTGTAGTCAGGTAGGACACGGTTAATGCCTCCGGGCTGCAACCACCCCAAGGGCCGGTGCTGCCTTACTGCCTGCTCCCTGGTATGAACCATTGCTGTTCGTCCTCCTGAAACACTACTTTTCATTTCATTGAAATAAATCAAGCTCAGCCAGCTAAACTACTTCCCTGTGCTACTTTACTCAAGCCTTACTAGTGCAGCCTGTTCTTGAAGAGCTGAGAGCCAGCCTCAATTCAATTTAAATGTTAATTACCTGTTTCAGATGTAGTCTGAGCAGCTTTCCTCTACCTCAACCTAACAAGGCCTGGCTGTTCCCAGAGGCACTGCTGAGAAAGCCAGACCTGTCCTAGCAGAACCCAAAGAGCTGCGCTGAAGTGAAGGTTGGAGCATAATCCTGTTTCATCAAAAAAGCTTAGACAGGAAATGAGAATCTTATTGAGCGCCCATTCCAGTTTGCTTAGCAGCCCATCTGCTCTCAGGTTGTATAATTAGCTTTCCCACTCGCCTGCCATCCTGCGCTGGCTGCTGTTATTAACCAGGACTTAGTCACACTGCCAGAGCCCACAGAAACTCACTCTGGTTTTGCTTCAGGCAGAGCAGTCACACCACCAAAATAAACTTCCCCTGCATCTACTGGAAAGGAGGGGGAAAAGAAAAAAAAAAGCTTAGAGAACTAAGAATTGTGCCTGAACACTGAACACAGTAAGCAGTTAAGCTTTATGAAATTCCCCCAGAACCTCAACCAGCATCAGACCCTTCCAGGCTCACTCCCCAGCCAAGAGCCATGACTCAAGCTGCAGAAAGACTCCAAAAATCTCCAAGGGGGGCCAGGGCAAGTTCTTTCTGTTGACAAAATTTCAGTTGCCAAAGCAGCCATCAGGGGTTACAGGCATCTACTGCTAACCTACTGCAGAGCCAGGAGGAGGAAGCTTCAAGCCCATACAAACCAAATGACAGAGACTCCTCACATGTGAATGTAAAACATTTAATTTAAAAATGTTGACACTACAATATATAAAATAGCTATTATAAATGCACATAGTGTATTCTATAGCTGCCAGGTTTACGTTTTTAGGAAACTGTAAGTTACACTGTGGTTAAGACTTGTAGTTTCACCCTCTGAAAAAGTCCACATTTGATCACAGTGATGTATGGTCAGACTAACAGCCCCAATTGTTAAACACTTGGATCAAGTCATAACCAGTTTTATTGCAAAAGGACCCTGTACACATTTATATCAATTCTAGTACCTTACAAGTTTAGCTACCCAACAAGTCATTAACATACAGAAACATGCATGAGAAGCAAGAAAGATCACCCATCCCTTCTGCATATTAGCAACTTGTCACTCCTGAGCAACAAGGCTCACATCACTGAGGTTTATGTGAACAGTCACTTTTAGCATTCATCCTGAGTGAAAGATGGAATGACTTAAGTACAAATGCAACATATTATAAACAATTTCTTACAAAAAAGTCACAAATTAAAACCAAAGTATTTTACAGAATTTACTACAAAACACCATAAAAACAGCCTTCACTTAAGCCCTCTCCCCCCGTATCCTGCGAGCCAACTGGATATCTTTGGGCATGATGGTGACTCTCTTGGCATGGATGGCGCACAGGTTTGTATCTTCAAACAGACCCACCAGATATGCTTCGCTGGCCTCCTGTTTCAAGAGCACAAGAAACGTCGTTAGAAACCCCCAGCGAAGCACACTCAGCACCGCGAGTGCCGAGGCCCTACAATAGGCCGTGAGCTAATAAATACCTGCAGCGCACCGATGGCTGCACTCTGGAACCTCAAGTCTGTTTTGAAGTCTTGGGCGATTTCCCTGACCAGTCGCTGGAAGGGGAGCTTGCGGATCAGCAGCTCCGTAGACTTCTGGTAGCGACGGATCTCACGGAGGGCGACAGTGCACGGCCCAGCTCTCCCCACCCCCGCTGCGGCACAACCCGTCAGGCCCAGCAACACGGCGCTTCCCCCCACCCCCCCGCGCCCCGTCCCGTCCAATCCCCTCAAGTCCCA